CTCTCCTCGCTCAGATGGGCTCCCAGTGGTGTTGTGTCCCTGGGCTGCAGGACAGGACCTTAAAGCTCACCCAGTTCCAACCTGTGCCATGGGCAGGGACACCTTCCACTAGAGCAGCTTGCTCCAAGCCCCTGTGTCCAACCTGGCCTTGAACACTGCCAGGGATGGGGCAGCCACAGCTTCTCTGGGCACCCTGTGCCAGTGCCTCAGCACCCTCACAGGGAAGAACTTCTGCCTAAGAGCTCATCTCAGTCTCCCTTCTGGCAGGTTAAAGCCATTCCCCTTGGCCTGGCCCTACAGGCCCTTGTCCCAAGCCCCTCTCCAGGTTTCCTGCAGCCCCTTTAGGCACTGGAGCTGCTCTAAGGTCTCCTTGGATCCTTCTCTTCTCCAGGCTGAACAATCCCATCTCTCAGCCTGTCTCCATAGGAGACACAGGGATAAAACTCCTGACCCCAGATCTCATACCCAAGTGCAGACAGCGAGAGCCATAATCCCCCAGGGGCTGACAGTGGGGTTTATAAAGCCCTGTGTCTTCCTTTGGCCATCACTGGCGGGTGGGAGGACGTTAACAGAGCTCCTGTGTGGATGCCTGGAATGGGAATGGTGCCTGGGGAGGCATTTGGTCCTCGTTAGCAGGCACTCGGTAGCTGTTTTGTCATTTTTCTTGTTTGTCATAAAAAATAAATACAGTTTAATAGATGATCTTACAGAGCAGGTTTTGGCAACAAAATAGACCGTGTCCCATTAGAAACTTGATGGGTATAATTTAAAGCAAGATGGAATATAAAACCATTTCCAGCTCAGATGAGGGAGAGGGAGACACAGATTTAGGTCTTGATTGTGCTGAAATGAAAACCAGCACATTCTCGGGTAGTGTATAAAATCAGGCATTCTGCTTTTTTATGGAGTCCAAACTATAAACAGCCTTTTCCAGAATAATTAATCACACCATTTATTTTTTCGGGGGGTCAAAAAGTTTGGGGAGTGGATTTCTTTTGTTTCTTTGTGTATTTTTACAGCTATCATGTGCAAAGGAGCAATCCTAAACACCACAGAAGATTATTTGGAGAGCAGGGAAGACTTTCAAGGTCGTCCCTCTCAAAATCCCATCCATTAGCAGAAGTTTAAGGAATGTGCTGAGGTGCCTCAGGCATTATGGGGAAAGCTGGGCTCTGGAGCCAAAGGCTGGGACGTGTTACGGCAGTGGGAAGGTGAATGGAATAGTCAGCAATGCTGCTTGTGATGTGCTTTCACAGACCAGCATTAGGAGTGGGTTAGTGGGGACTGGGGGGCTGGAGGGATGTCTACCCCATCCAAGAGGATGCTGCTTCCCTGTGGTGTGCTCACCTTCCATCCAGTTAGGAAAAACCTGCCCATTGCTCCTGCTGGAACTGGGCAGTTGATCCTTGCTGAGGTTAGAAATGGGGTAGGTGTCTGCTATCTGCACATTGTCCCACATAGCTGCAAGCAGAGGACCTGATGCCCCACCACTGTAAATCACAGCTCTACTTGAGCTGGAAGAGGGATGCGTATTCCTGCCAAGGAAGGAGAGAGTTCCAGAGTGCGTTTCCTCCATCCTCCCTCTCCTCTGGTTTGGGAGCAGTGGGGCTGGCTTGCCTCTGTCTGCTTTGGCTCTTCAGTTCTGATTTGAGCAGAGCCAGTGTAAATCCAAAACAGTTCTAGGGAAGTCAGTCAAGTTCCCGGAGACTCAGGGCTGGAGGAGATAGGAAACTATTCACAGCTTGTATGTAGCTGTTGACATCATATATAAAAGGCTGGCAGAATGCAGCAGTGATGTGCTATAGGCAGGGTGCTAATCTCTCTTGTTATTAAGTTTCCTGACATTTCCCATTATCAGAGCTTCTTTACAGTGTTCACGGGGCTGCAAAACTTTAATCTTTGAGGTTGAAATGCGTCACCCACGTGCCCTCCACTGCACAGGTAGTGCCAGCGGGTGAAATTCTGCTTTTCCTTGGATTTGTTGTGATCCAGGAAGTTGCAGAACCCCCAGCTCTGTTAAAAATAGCAATCAATAAAGCTGTGAAGTCTTACACCCTGGAGGAGTTCAAGCCACCATTCCTCCTGCCTGAGCAGCCCTCTCTTGGGCCATGCTGCACATACAGGTATGGGGTTTAATACCTGATTACATGCTGCTTTCCTTATAGGACCCCACCATCCCTGTCAGTCAGCAGAGCAGGAGATGCACTGAGATATACAAGGGTGAAGGCAGGGCTAAGATGCCATGGGAGGGGCAGGGCCTCATCCCATAGGGCCAGCAGCATCTTCTCTTAACCAGTCTATATGGACTTATCTGCTCACCCCTGGCAATAAGCAACCCACCAAGTCCCATAGGAGACCTCCCCTGCTTCTGTAGCGAGAGGCTGTACACTAATGTGCATGTACAATAAGGTAAACCAACCTTTTACTGAGCTGGAAAGCGGCATGTTTTACTGGAAAACCAAACCAGTTTGCTTTGGCTGTGCTGCCACCCATCCCCGTGGTAGCTGGTTGGGGATACTCAGTGCTGGAGGTGTTGTGGCAATGTGCTGGAGTTGGAACCAATTGGTTTCATGCCAAGATAATTCACTGAGGGTTGTTTGGCTGCTTTTTTTTTTCCCCTCTGCAAGATGAGACATGATTTCAGTGGGGTGCAGGAGGATGGAGCCAGGGAAGAGGAAATAACTTGCTTTAGAAGAAAAAACCTAAACTAAAAATGGCTTTTCCTGTGCAAAATAAATTCTATGACACATTTTTTTCTGCCAGCCCCACGAGTGCAGGAGCAGCCCACATTCCTGTAGGAAAGAGGTATAAATCCTAGCCCCGAGTCTGAGGCTGGCAATGGGCCTTCCTTGCTTGGGACCCTGTGGACCAAGGTCCTCCCTGTGTGGCGGCAGGAAAGGAGACCATCTCAGTGGGATCAGAGCACAAAGCCATGGTCTTCTCAAAGCTGTATTAGGAATGCAAATCCTGCAGTGAATCATCCAGGCTTAGGGCTGTACTTTGGCTATCAGATGACTGATAGAAAAGTGTGAATAGGCAGCTGGGTTAGTGATGGGATTAGAAAACAATCTCATTTGGAGCTAAATTGCTCCTAAATAGTCTGGTTTGGGCTTCCACATGATGTTGTGTTGGATCTGCTCAAGACTGGCCACCTCCTGTCACCAAAGATGCGTGTGGAGTTGCAGGACAGGGATTATGGGGAAAGGTGACCTTGAGTTTCAGATGCAAGGCTTGAATCCAGTTCCCTGCTCTAGGCTACAGTTTCTCATGCCCCTGCGTTGGTGTTCTTGGATCCACCATGGTGTCCAGGGTCAGACCTCTCTGCATCCTCTCTGTTTTATTAATAAGCCAAAAGATGGTTGCAGGCTCAGGATGCTGTTGCAGCGGATGGAGGGGGTCAGGGTGGGTGTGCATGCTGTGAGCCTCTGTGAGCTCTGTTTGTCATCCACAAGCCCAAAGAGGAAAACCCATAGTTTACAGGACAGAGAGAAAAGGTTTCACTGCTCGCTGGTTTGCTTGAAGCAAATGGATTAATAACACTTGATATGTAACTAAATAAAATCATCCTGACCCCAGTTTGCTGGATCTCCAGGATATGTTTTGTGGGTGAAAAGGTGGCTTTCCTCCTTGGAAGTGGCACTGTTTTTCCTGGTTTTGGGGTATTAAGGGAAAAAAATCTCAGGCCAGATTGGACAGAGCCTTGAGTGACATGGTCTAGTGTGAAGCATCCCTGCCCAAGGCAGGGGGTTGGAACTGGATGATCTTAAGGTCCTTTCAAGCCCGAACAATTCTGTGATTCTGTGATGTCCTCCAGCTTCAGAAGAGAGAAGGACCTACAAGTTTCTTGTACGACTGCTCCCATGGAGCTGTGGGAGGAGGATGGTTTACCATCAGGTGAGATCTGACGTTGATAAATGTGGCTGTCTATCAGTGGATCTAGAAACCTTCCTGATGTGATGGAGCCTCCAACCTCCACCTCCCTGGCTCAGCTGTGTCCCTGTCCTTCCCACCTTGCCAGTGCCACGGTAAGAGGGGTCAGCAGGGAGCTGAGCCCTCCTTGGTGATGGAGACCTCGTGTTCTCCCTTCTCACTGGGGAGCTGTGCATCTCCTGAGGAGCAGCACAGGAGCAAACAGCTGGTGGGAACCGAGTAGTTGTGCTGGAGTAGTGACAATCTCTGGTGTAGGAGCTCTGAGGAGCTCCTCTGTTACGTGCTCTGCCCCCAGAATGAGTAAATAAAAGCCTCCTCATTTATTTATGATGCAAATAGCAACTGTGCATTCAGCTCTAGGAGTTGTTGATTATTTATTTAGAGCCTCTTGTCTCAGAGGCACTGGCTGCGTGCAGGAGGCATCTGTCTGGGTTTATTACCCACAAATAGACATTTTGCTGCTTAGGTGGTGGCTGCTAATGTTTTGAAAGCCTGCTGTGGAAATGGAAATCCTTCCAGGGAGGCACAGATCCCCTGGTCCTTCCTCTTCACAGTCAATAGCAGCAGCTCACAGCCCTACCAGCCCCTCTGAAAATCCCAGCTGCCCCATATCCCACTCCTATGGAGCTGTTGAACGCTGAGCTCCTCTGGGCATGAAGGTTTCTGCTGTGAAGTATGAAGAGTGATGGCTAAGTTCCAGTTTCTGTCGGTCCTTATCCTCAGAAAGCTAAATGGAGGATGGGTGGGAGGTGGATGTGAGAACAACGAGAAGTATTTGGCTTAATATACTAGTGATGGTTGCTTGGAACTCCCTTCCTTTTCCCCCTATCCTGTAGTGGGGGACAGACTGTTACTGTGTACCAGAAGTGTTGGATTTGGCTTCTTCCACAACCAGTCACATAAAGAAGCTTTGCTGGGTTCTCAGAGACTTGGGCAGTGAATAGGTGCTGCTTTGGGACTGTTATCCCCAGGAGCCTTTAAATGCTTCTGCTTCTTCCCTGGTTGGGGGCTGGCAAAGTTTTGGCACTTGGCTTTAGGAGGCTCATGGCACTGATTCGATACATCCTTCTCAGGTCATCCACTTGCTTTGGCAGTTGATGGAGCACAAGTGTTCCCACAGAGAGCACCCCGTTAGTGATCCATGGCATGGACCTCAACTCCAAAGCTTTGGTGACTATATTCCTGGACAGTATTTTCAATGCATGCAAAGGCAAGGAGAAGAGGGGTTGTTCCAGTGGATGGATGAGCCCAGGAGGAATAGATTATGCTGAAGGAATTCTGCTCATCCCCACTGATTGCAGTTGTGGCACCACTGGGGGACTCTATGAGGAAAAGCACCAGTGGCTGGCCCTGGCCACTGCTGCTATCCCATTATCCACCAAGTTATCCTTGCTGAAATGTCTGCCTTTAAGTATCCCATATAGGAATCCCTTACTTGTAAAATGATCCACAGTTTTAGAGGCAAGAGTTGGGTTTTTTTGAGCTTTCTTTTCAAAAAGCTGTATTTACCCTTTATTTGGCTGCCTCTCTTGCAGTCTTAGGGCCGTAGGTAGGAGTTATTCTCCTGGTACCCCTACGTTGTGTTAAAATCATTTACATCCATTAAGTCTCAGAACTACGAGGTAGAATTCATTCATACTCCATAGCATAGCTGGCCAGCAGAGGATGATTAAATCCAGACTGAGATGATCAAACTTAGGCACCTAAATGAGTGACCAAAGGCTCTGGTCCAAGCTCAGATCATTGTAGGTCTTGGATCTCTTCTCTTACAGACTGAGAAAGGGTTGCTGTTAAGCCAGGTAGATTTTGCTTGGCTCCATCACTCATGGCAGTATTTCCAGGGCTTTCCAGGACTTCAGCCATTCTCATGGGTCTTCTCTGAGTCCTCCTCCAGCTTTTCAGCCTACACCTCATGCTGTGGAACTGCCTAGCACCTTCCAGGATCCAGCCTAAATTCTGGATACCTTGTGCAGGAATCCACCCCAGTGGGTAATGGTTAGAAAACCACTGCTGGCTAGTGAGGAAGAGTCTTTGAGAGCTGGCAAAGATGTCTTGGAGCCCCATGGCTTGGAGAAGGCATTTCAGGTTTGAAGTGGTATGGCACTCCTATAGCAAATCATCAGTGTGTGTCCTGGAGGGACAAAAGGGGCTGAATACAGATAAACAGCAGAGCGGTAAATGTGCCTGCTCTGTGTGTGTGTCCCCAGATGTGTACACATCTGGAGCGATTTTGGGAGGTACTTAAGTACCAAAGAAACCTACAGAGATGAACAAATAGGGCTTCGGTTTGTGTCGGTGTCTCACTTGAAGCACGCTATCAGCAGCACCGGCAATGTATTTGGAGTAGGATCTCCTGGCCTTGGATTGAAGCCAGAGGGAATCTCAGTGAGGGGCTGGGATGAGGAGGGGGGTAACAAACTGTTTAGAGGGCCATGAATAGCAGCTTTCATCAGCTGTCATTTCCCATTACAACTGACCCAACATGGAAATGCAGTGCAGGGCTGCACTGAACCAGGAGAGGTTCCCCTGCCTTCTGAGTCCCAGCCACCTCCATCCGCATCCTCTGGCTCTTCGGAGACTGAACCTTGCAGTTTGAACCTGCTACAGTGACTGCTAAAGGGCTGGCTGGACCCAGCAGCTGCAGAACACTAGGTCAGCTCTTGCTTGGTGGCATGGAGAAGGTCAGAAGTGATCAGGACCTCGCTGTGCTTGATGTGAGTTGATGTGGGTGGTGCAGACTTGGTGTTCTGCGGCACCTAAACTGAGCATGAGGATGCCAAGTGCATGAATCTTCAAACAAGACCTGATGCATAGAGAGCCTTCTGCCAAAAGGTAGCAGAGAATTTGATGTAAAAGCAGAAATATGCTTCAGTTGCCTGGGAATGCAATATCCTCCTGAGCTGGCTTGCATATCCTCTCACAGAGATCAGCTGTCCACCAAAGTACCAACACCTTCCAAACTTGGCTGCGTTTCAGTGCTTGTGGGCTGGAGGCTAAAAAGAAAAGGAGGATGATTGAATGTCTCTGCTTCCAATTGACCATGGTGCAAAGTGCTTAAATCGAAGCCTGAGGATGGAGCTACACCCTGGGTGTATGGATGGCTGCAGGACTTCTTGGTGTCATTTCTGGTTGGAGATGGGTGTGGGGGTGCTGGAGAGGAAAGAGAGCTTGGAAAAGGAGTTTCCAGCAAGGATTAGCCAAAGGAAACAAATAAGTTTTATATCGATGAATTTGAACTGGGATTACAAAGGCAGAGAGTCATTCTCATACTCTGAAGCTCATTCATTTGCTTCATTCTGGGTTTGGGAGGTTGGTACAGGAAAGGATGGTGGCCAAGGGCTGGGCAAGGAAATCCCCAGCACCCCATCTGATAGAATTACTCCTTTTTCTGTACTGAGCATTGTGTGCGGGCAGCTCTGAACAGGCAGTATGTGGAGCATGATGGTTGGTGCTTGCCAGTGCCCAGAGACACTGTGGGTGTGCTTGGGGGAAAGAAGGCTGGGAGGAAGGATGGGGTGGAAAAGCCACATTGCTCCAAGGCCAAGCTGGGGATGGAGCAGAGGAACGTGAAGGACAAATAGCACTCCTGCAAAAGCGAGCCTTACCAAACTCGGTGTCTCCCACCTGCAGCTCCCTTGAACCTTCCCTTTCATCTCTTCAATGTGTATTTCATTTGATTAATAAAAAACATCTTTCCTTCTCTCCGCAGAGATACTGGAGCACAGCCCACGGGTTGGGAGGGAATAGTTGCAGCTTGGCTTCTCCTCTCTGACCACCAGCCAGCTCCCTATCTCAGGATGGATCCAACAGGAGCACAGGAACTCGCATCCAAGAAGCCCCGGTGCTCTGCCAGGGCCACACAGGTAGCAAAGAGCTTGATAGAAAGTCAAGTGCAACATCTGGGAGTCTTTTTTTCTGTTGCCTCCCCTGTATTTCAGAGCAGTAACTCCCTGATGTGCGTGGAGAGCTCGCTAACGCTCAGAACGCTCCAGCCTCGCACACAAACACCCAAAAGCAGGTCCGTGTCTGTCTAGGAAACCTGGATCAGAGGACAACTATATTCTGAAGCAGTATGTTGCCTCTGAGGCCCTGAGGTCCTTTGTAGGAGAACAAGTACTAGGCTGTTCTGTTTGGTTTGTTGTTCAGCTTTAGTGCTGGTGCCCCTGGGCAGAACAGGCTGGGGATGACTGATTTGGAGATCTTGTCCTTCTCCCTTCTTCTCCTTCTCCTGTATCCTCCCCTAGGAGCCTAAAACTCAGCTATCAGATAAGAGGAAGATGAGCCAAAATACTCCTGTGAGAAGGAAACACATCCAGGCAAAAGGGAATTGGCCTCCCTTGCTGTTCATCGGTGATGCCCCACAGACTGCCGTTAATTTGCTATCCCATCTGCATCCCGGATGGTCTCAGGCAGTGGACAGCTTTGCAAGGGGTGGGAATCTTCAGGGCTGGAACAAGGAGCATCGCTGAAGGGCTGTGCAGTCTAACAGCTTGTTTGAGGTGGTTTTCCCTGGTGTTTGTTTCACTGAGGGCCTTGTAGGGACGGAGGCAAGCCAAAACCTTCCTCATAGCCAGAACTTGGGCAGGGAAGCAGGGTGCTGCTGGGAAGCAAATGGGAAAGCAGAGTCTTTGGGTTAGGAAGGAAAAAGCCAAGGCAGGCTGGAAATCAAGAGCATGTTTAGACAACAGAGTTGGCCATCATGGTCAAGAATAGAGGCATTGGGTTCCTGAGCCTATAGAACCCCGTTCCCATAATGGGGCATTTAGGGCAATATATAGCAGCAAAAAGGGATTTAGTTCCCATTTGTTCTGTGTTGGAAATCAAGCACCTTAATAGCAGCCACAAGCTTGAAGAAGGGGTTTAACTCTTAGTTTTTTGACCAAAAGCTGGTCTAGTGATAGAAGAGTTGGCTGAACTTTCAAAGTCCAGACCTGCAGATATTTAATGAATGCAATCACAAAGTGGAATTTGGTGATTGAAGCTGTTAGCAATAAATACTGCTTCAAGAAACAGTCAGATCTGGTACATCTTAGGAGGAGCAGTGAAGCATCCAAAATGCACCCAAGTAAGGTTTGTTAGTGAGTATTTTATCCTCCTTTCTTCCTGAGAGATGCCTTATCCAGCCTGGGAATGGGAGTACTGCCATGAAACTTGACAGAGTAATCACTAATACCAACAAATAGCTGAAATAGGTGGTTTCTGAACAGCTGAGCTAGAAAATGATGTTCCTGTGGACCATCCAGCTGCGAGACAGGGACAGAAGTGAAAACAATTGATTTAAGAAGTTAATTGTGAGCGGAGGAGGAGGCCAGTGTCAGTGGTGCAGGGAAGACACAAGAAACAAACAAACCCTACAGGAAAGTCGAACTTAAACATCCACAGAAGACATGCAAATGCAGACGTTTGCTCAATGAGGGGGCCTCTGGATTGTTCCTAATGAGCTCTAATGCGAAGAGGAAATTAAAGAGCTCTGTTTTGGGCTCTGTCTGTGCTGTGCTGTGTGCTGATGGGAGGAGGACTGCACCAAAGAGGAGCGTTCCTGCTCCCAGCCTGACAAATGGGACTCATCGGGGTTTTAGTTTGTCAGAGTATTCTTGTTTGTTAGGCAAAGCAAACTGATCCAACCCAACTCAAACGTGAAGCAGAGGAGGAGCCTGGATTTACTTCTTGAGTGAGTGGTTTTAAAAGGTTTTGCTTTCTGAAAGGGGCTTCCAAGGTGGCCCCATCTGAGACCATTTCTTCTTTTGAAATAGAAACGTCCGGTTTGCTAGGCCATAATACTTTTTGGTTTGAATTGTAAGCGAAGTATAGCATGAACGGGGCTTCTTTGCCGAAGGTTTGGGAGAATTGAAACCAAATGTTTAAACACTGTATGTCCCAGCCCCTTGGCTTGCCTGAGCTCCAACGGCTGTTGTTCTTTTCTTCTCTAACCGATATTGAAACTCTGATGTTTATCCCCGTATGACTTGGGAATTGTTTACAACTTTTAGGCATTTTTCAGGAACTCCAAACCTGTTCCTCGTGTATATTTGTGCTGGCAGCTGCTGTCTAAAGGACAGCTTCAGCTCCTCAAAAAGCAGAAGCATATGATAATTTTCTCTTTAGGAAAGCTGGTAAAATACGGAGTGTCAAACCAGGATGAATTCTCCCACTGGGCAGTGGTTGTGTCCAGGCAGGCTCCTTTGCAGCATTTCCCTCTGGAATGCCAATGCTAAGGGTCTAATATGCACCAGGATGTCCATGCTGTCCCTGTGAGCTCCCCGGCTTTGGGGTGTGTTGTGTCTAACAGGGCTTTAGGTGGTTGAAATGTGAGATTCCAACTTCGGATGGACATTCCTGCACTGCCTGGAAAACAAGCCATGGATTCTGGTTGATGGAGGAAGGATCCACACTAGGATCAGGTGCTGTGGCCAGGGTTGGGCTCTGACCGGGGACTGGTCAACCCTTCCATTAATAAGCAGGCCGTGAAAGCCCCGATGGGATCTTGATGGTGGATGTGATGGGGTGTATGTGCATTCCTACACCAGCAGCATCTTCTAGACACCTCTTACATGAGTATCTGCTTTGGACCACAGCTTGTGCCAGCTGGGGTAACTGCAGACCAGGCAGAGCTCATATGGCACCTCTTACTCACCAAAACATACAGGGGCAATATCCAGTTTATACAGGCAGAGCTGGCCATGCTCTGAGCCCTGAGCAACTCATGTGGGCAGCCATGCATATAGTTTCTTTATTTAACCTGGAATCTTCTCATTGTGGAAAATGGAGGAGTTTGGGCTCAGGTCAGTACTGGGTTTGAGTTCCAGGGGACTACAGTGAGGGTTGTTTTAGATCATGGTGTACTGATGTCATGGTCTATGTCTTTATAATTTGTATGGCAGGCGGTAGAGATGCATCTATAGGGTTGAATATGCCCCTGAATCTTTGGACTGTGGCTTCACTTGGAACAGCAGACCCCATCTGAGCTTAATCAGAGCCAGAAAATCACCTCTTGTTCAGAAGAGGTGATTTAAACCACCAGGAGGAGATGGCTGCTGGCAGTCCAGCAAATCCTGTGATGCTGCTGCATTGATGAAGTGCTTGGAGGGCAAAGCACACACTCTTCTGCACCCCCTGAATGTATGGGTCCCGGGAAGCTGCTGAGGCACTGGGAGAGCCCTGGATTGCTGCAGACAGGCAGCGTGCAGGGAGGCAGGTAATTAGAATCATGATAGATTCATAGGATGCGTTCAGCTGCTTTCCTCTGCTCTTAAACTTGTCCTTCTCAGGAGAATTTTCTCACTCCATTGCCATTTCTTCTGTGCCCAGGTCTCCAGCAGTGAGCAGTATAGAGAATCTGTTGATTCTGTTCCATAAGCCCTGTACAAGGGACGGTAAGTGCTCCCCAGCCAACACCTCTCAGTCATTTCCTTTAGATGTTGCTCACATGCCCTAAATCCCAGCTGTTGGTGAAAGAACAAAAGAAATGAGCTGGAGAAGCTGTGGCTGAGCAGGTCTAATCCTGTCTGCAACATCACCATTGCCCCAGTGTTAATGGAGGAACTCACAGAGGCCTGATGCTGGTTCATCTGGGAAGAAGGAGCCTCCATTACCAGGACTGTTCTGGGTTTGCAGGAGAGGAAGCGGCAAAGAGGTTTGGCAAGGGAGATGTACTTGTGGTGGATAAGCTGTGTTTGAAGTCTCTCTGCTGTGCTGAGGACCTCAGGTAACACTCACACCAGTGAATTTGGCCTCCAGAAGTTACACAGTCATCTTAAGAACTATGAGATGCTGATTAACATTATTAGTCATATTTAACCGTGCTGAAATGCAGGTCCTGAGTCTTGAAGAGCTCTGCTGCCTCCCAGCAGCTTTCACCATGAGCTGGGCTGTCCATAGGGCATTTCTTGGTCATCAGATTTGGAAGATCCTAGGCCAAGTGGTGTGCTCAAGGCTCAGCACAGCGTTGGCCTTCACTAGGAACTTCACACCCACGTAGACGATGCATCCAAAGCTGCCTTCACACAGTCCTGAGCCCAAGGGCAACATTGGACCTGAATCAATGAGAGCCTTCCCTATGGAGCAATGAGCTGTGCTGCCTCCGTGCAGCGGTGTGGACAAGCATAAGATGGAGGAGGTGTCATTCCAAAGCCATGGCTGGCCAATGTCTTAGGTAATAAATGCAATGAATTGAGGAATGCAGCCTCGTTACTGCCTGGCGGAGGGGAATTCATTCTGCACATTGGCTTCTCCAGAGCTTTCCGCCCAGGCGTCGCTGACTTCTCACCACCACATCGATATTCCTGTATTTCAGCAAAATTCCCTGCTCCTAATCTGGATAGTCCTGCCTGGGTGGAGTGCAAAACCCACACTGTTAACTCCGGATAGTGGTAATTAAAAGAAAATAAAATCAAAGGTGCTCAGAAAAGAAATGGAAAATTTTTCCCTGGAAGCCAAAAGATTATATTAAACTTTGGTGGTTTAATAAAATAGATGAAGTTTGGGAGTATATTTTCCCTGGGACTTAATCTGTTTATACATCTAAAAAAGTAAATAGAATATCACTTTACTTGACCACACAGAAAACCCGATACGGGGGGTGCTGCTCCGCTGTATATATTTCTTGGTGAATTGCTTCCACCTCAGGTTTCATGCAGTGAGTCCGTTCCTCTCCTACCAGGTCAAGGGAAAGCAGGAATTCATCAAACACCGTGGCAAAATGCTGTGGACGTAGCAGGGCTGAGGGGTGGCTGGTGGGGGGAGCTGTGAAGACCTGGCTTTGCAAGGCTTTTTGCAACCTAAAGAAAGGAATATGACGGTATTCCTTGCTGGAGAAACATGGAGTGGAAGGTAAGAGTTCATAGAAATGACACCAGCAATGCCACTGAGGAGTTCAATGGGCAGAGCCCCCCCCCCCTCCATGGAATGCCTTTAGGTTTAGAAACCTAAAATAAGACACAAGTGGGTAATTCTGTGTTTTCCCCTTTCTTCATAAACCTGCCCCCTCTTTCCAGGTTGCTGCCGCCAGCAAAAAGAGAGCACAGCCTCTCAGTACCCGTAAACTTTATTAAATGTGTGCTTTTTCATTCTTCAATTAAATTAAAATCAGTCTGTTTCATACGGAAATAGCACCAAAGGGAGAAGGATGACAGTATCTCCAGGCAAAGAGGAGGGAGGAGAGAAAACCCAGAAACCGTCATATGGGAACAAGAATTTTTTTAATGGGTAAGGAAATGGGCAATTTTAGGTGTTTTCCTTCATTTTGGAGACCTAACCTTGTGTATTCCAGTGTGGCTGAGGGGAGAACCGAGGAGGCTAAGGATCGGTGTTAGTCAGAATCACTCAGCGCAGGGTAGGCATGGCCAAATCACTGCTGGAAATGTGACTTCTTACTGCTGCACCCCAAAGATCACCCTGAATGCCACACAGAGGAGCCTCCATGGCACGCTGGTGTTTATATTCCTTTTAACTGTGTGAATTACTGGGTGGCAGCATTTCCTTAGGAGTTGATTCAGTTCTGTACTGCATGAAATCAGCGCCAACTACAACGCGGACGCAGCATCCTGGCCCTTGCGCTTGCAGAAGTGGTAGCGATGCGAATCCCAGCAGCGGAGGGGCCAGGTTTTGTCCTGCCAAAACTGCTCTGGTAAAGAAAAGCCCATTTCTCTGAAACATTCCAGGTGTGGCCAGTAGAAACACAGTGCAAAGAGCCTTCCTTCAGTTCAGGTTTGGCTGGAAGCTGCCGCTGCAGTGGGCTAGAGGGAGGTCTCGTGTTCAGCTTCCTTTCTGAATTGGGCTCTACAAGCCTGTGCCAAAGCATGTCACCATCAGTGGAGAAAACCCCAGGTTTTTGAAGTCTTTGGAGGAAATAGTTGTGTTCAGCACCCCTACTCTAAAGCTCCAGATGGTTTCTATGCACAAGAGCTGTGGTACCCCGTTTGTGAGGCTACGATGGATGCCCTGCAAACCCAGAGACCTGCTGCTGGCTGAGCAAGTGTAGAGGAGGGGTGTCTGTCTGCTCAGACAGCACTGAATCCCAGACTAGTTTGGGTTGGAAGGGACCTTAAAGCTCATCCAGTTCCAACCCCCTGCCATGGACAGGGACCCCTTCCACTAGAGCAGCGTGCTCCAAGCCCCTGTGTCCAACCTGGCCTTGAACACTGACAGGGATGGGGCAGCCACAGCTTCTCTGGGCACCCTGTGCCAGCGCCTCACGTCCCTCATCATAAAAGATTTCTTCCTTATGATGAATTTGGCTCTTGACAGGATGCTTTAGAAAGTGCTTCTTTTCCTCTTTAAACAAATGTTGTAAGATCTAAATGTTGCATGGTGTATAAGCCTATGCTTCATCAGTGCCTAATGGCATATTTGATTATTGAAACCTGAAGAATTTTAATAAACCTAATTAGTGTCTCATTGTTAATGTATTGATTTTTCTGCTTAATAAAAAAGTAATCAAACCTTATAGGTCACTTCTTCATTTATAGCTCCTTTTGCTTTCCTCTCCTATTAATATCTGCACTCAATACTGTAGGCCTAGGAGGGGTGTGGTTTTCAATAGTTTACTTCCAATTCTTCTTAGGTTAAAATAATCTAAACTTCATGGTTGGATTTTCAAATAAGCCTAAAGAGTTGAGAGGCTTAACTGTTATTAGAGTTCAAGGCAATTTGATTGCATGACCTCTGTTAAAAGCCGTTGTTCATACATGGAGGGATTTTCAAAGATACTTACGGCCCAGCTAAAAAAATCAATTCCAGTCTCAGATCCCAAAATAGTTTTACTGGGTGTGCAGCAAGGGATTCAAACCCTCAGGAAGCAGAGGAAGTGAAATAGTCAAGCATTTAGGGGAAAGTATGATCATGTAGCCTAGTTCAGTGTGCTGGGGAGAGTTTTAGAGGCGCATATGATAGGCTTGTGTACACACCAAAGCTGTAGTTGATGGCAATGATTTGGTGGCAGTTGTGGCAACTCATTTGTATGAAGGTGGTTGGTATTGCTACAGCTAGTTTAATATGGGAAGAACAATCTGTAGCACTATAAAGCTGCTTTATATTAGTCTAAATGTGACTGTGTAAGAGACAATAGCAATAAAGATTGATTTTTTGAATCATATGCTGAAGCAAAGTTTCATAGAGTCATAGAATGTTTTATAATATTTATACTTGGGTACTTGGTTTGGGCTGAGTTGTCTTCATAGTAGCTGTTAGGAGGCGGTGTTTGGATCTGTGCTGGGAACAGTGTTGGTAATACAAGGATGTTTTCATTACTGCTGAGCAGTGCTTATACAGTCAAGTCTTCTGCTCCTAGTCTGGGGGTGCACAAGGAGCTGGAAGGGGACACAGCTGGGACAAGTGACCCAAGGGGTATTCCAGACCATGTAACATTATCCTCAGCATACAAAGCTGGGGGAGGAAGGAAAAGGGGACTTTGGGAGTGATGGTGTTTGTTTATTTGTCTTCCCAAGTCACCATTGCATGTGATGGAGCCCTGCTTTCTTGGAGGTGGCTGATCATGGGAAGTGGTGAATGAATTCCTTGTTTTGCTGCTGTGTGTAGCTTTTGCTTTACCTATTAAACTGTATTCATCTCAACCCATGAGTTTTCTCATCCTCTTCCCGTTCTCCCCCATCCCACTGGGGAGGCAGTGAGTGAGTGGCTGCGTGGGGTTTAGTTACCGGCTGGGGTAGAACCATGACAACTTGTCACAGGCATCTACACATTAGCCCAACCTTAAGTCTCCTTGAAATACCAAAGAAACAGCATTCTTAAATCTTCTTTTCAGCTCAGACCTCAGATTTTGTGCCTCGGTAGTGCTGGCACTGCTTGGTTGTGCTGGTCTTGTTCTTGCTGCCAGCTTGGCTCTTGCACATGGATGGAGTGGGAGGGATGGTGCTATCTCCCACTCCTGCCCCAACAAGCCTTAGTGTTAGAAAGGTTTTGCCAATCATCAACCCCCATCCTTTTGGCTACATCAAGCCCCTTCCCTCTTGGTCTGGCTGACATGGCAGAAAGTAGATTTCTCCCCTTGTCTCCAGTGACACTTTGGAAAGACCATTACTAAGAGCCCAACACTCTTCCAACTTCTCTGAATTGGGACCTTTGAGCTCCAGCACTGAGCTGCAGAAGTGAATGACAACAACAGGGAGAGAAGGTCCTGGGGCCCCACAACACTAATGAAGTTATTTTAATTACCTTGGGAAATGGTCCTTGCATGCAAATCCATGTGGGTTTGTGTCTTCAGGGAACAGCATCCTCGAGAATGGAGGGAGTGTGTAGGGACGGGTAGGAAGAAGACAGTAGGGTCACACTGGAGGGGATGTGGCTCCACACCAGCAGTGGAACTTGGTGCCATAAAGTTTAGCAGGACCCAAGCTGTCTTCCTAGCTGTCAAACAGGACAACCCAAGGTGGAAATGACTCCCTTAGGTTAAATTGTAAGTTCAGATACAATTCTCTCTGGACTCCTGAAATCTCTGCTCTGCTGTGACTTAGTCAGCCCTTGTGCAGTGATCTTGGTCCCCAGGCTCCTTCCTAACGAGATAGCCAGGTGATCCCCAGATTTGTTTTATTCCATCAGGGGATTTTTGACGTTAGACTCAGGAGAGGGAGCATCATCTTGTGTTTATACAGCACCAAGCGATAAGTAGGTGCTCCCACAGTCCAGAAAATGCTGGAGTTAAGGAGGCAGCACCTAAGTGAGCCCATGGTAATACAAGATTGTGCTTCACTAACAGATTTCTGATGCTGAGACATTTCTACCAGCCAAAAAGGGGATAAAGGTGGTTTGATTTGCCTGACCATTTTTAAAGCCCTGCACAGCCAATGCTCTTGTCCTGCTTCCCCCTTGGTTCTCCTTTAGGAAAGGGCAAGGAAACTTGATCATCTTCCCCTCATTCTCTCCCCTTCCCGGACGTGATTTTTGTTCATTCTTTCCCGAACAACCCTTTTCCCAGTGTTTTTCTTTTAGGACTGCCCCAACTTAAAACATTCCTCATTATGGCTTAAATAGCATCTGCCACACACTGTGAGCTTGTTTCCTGCCTACGAGTCAGAGAGTGGTGGATTCCCCATCGCCTTCGAAACAAGGGTACCACAAGCATCAGCTCAGTATGGACCTTCCTTGCCCAGCACCCAGATCCCTTCAGATAGGCCCCCTGTGCTCTGCCATCAGTGTAAAAGGGGTGCACATTGCTGGCAATGGGGAAAACTGGTTTAGAGCCAGTGCCTATGAATGAGGCTTTTGACTACCTGGCAATTTTCATCATAGAGTCAAAAGAACCATTTGTTTTCTTTCACTTTTGGCTACCAAAATTGTTTTGTCTCAAAACAAAACAAAGGATTATTGGTTTTGGCTTCTGTAAAGGTGAAAAATAAGTTTGGTTGATGAAAAGAGCTTGATTTAGTGGGGGGCAAAAGTCAAACAAAAAATTGGGATAAATGAAACAGAAATTCACCAAAGGTTTCATGCAATAAAGAAAAAACCCTAAGGTAAGGTTTTGAAAGCCAAATTAGGTATTAAGCCTCCTTTGTTTCACTGTCAAAAGTGATGAGGTCTGGTCTCGAATGGGATTTGCAAGCCAAAATGTGGCTGCCCTTCCAGTAAGGCTCTGAGCTCCCCAAGCCCCCCTGTCACTTCCTGAGGACATCTGAAAGCTTTACACCTGCTTTTTGCCTTGCAGAAACAGGGCTGAACCTGGGGCCCATTGAAGGGAGCAAGAGACATCGACAGGACCAGGCTGCTGCTCACAGCCTCCCTTTGCGGATGGACACATCACCCCAGTGCTGAGAGAAGAAAGAAAACAAAGCAATGCCAAAAGAAAAAATAGAACAAATCATGTTTCAGCACAACTAGTTGTTTTTTTTTTTTGTATTTTTCCCTCCCTCTACTGATATGTAAAAAAAATATATATTATATTATATTTTCCTTTTCTTAAATTATTTGTTTCAGCCTCAGTCCCAGCCGAAGTCCTGCCCCGTCATCTGGTAGAACTTCATGTTGAAGGGCCGGTAGAAGTCCCGCAATCTCTGCACCACGTCCTGGTCTATGTCGGGGTGGGTCCTGCCTTTCGTCTTGCCCAGGCAGTGGGGTTTGCTGCTGCCTTCCGCCTTCTTCAGGCACGGGAAGCCCTTGGTTTTGTTGAAGTAGAAGTGTTTGTCGGTGATGATCCTCTTGAGGCCCAGAAAGTCCTGGACCCGGCCCAGCTCCCCCGCGGGGTCGCTGATGAGCCTCTCCCCGCTCACAAAGAGGATCTGCCCGATGGGGAAGTAGAGGAGCCAGTTCTCCAGGTGCTTGGCGTAGATGCCGATCTGGATGGCGCTCCACGAGGTGTCGATCAGGCCCGTAGTCCTGTTTTTGAAGGTCAGGCTCTCAAAGGTGGGGATGTCGGGCTTCTTGGAGAGCGTCTGCGTGTAGTCCGAGATGGCTCTGGTCACGGGGTCCCGCACCACCACGATGAGCTTCGTGCCCTTGGACATGGAGGAGATGCGCGCCGGGGCCTCCTTGGTGACGAAGTAGCTGGGGGTCTTCTCCATGGTGATCTGCCCCTCCAGGGTCCTGGGCATGAGGTCCCTGAGAGAGGGACAGAGAAGGACACGTTAGTGCTAAATGCCCCTGGGGGGTGCTGCTGCATGCAGTGCTCCAGGATGCCCTGGGTACCAACGGCAGGATGCTCCCAAGCCTGACACCTCCAGCCCAGAGCCCAGCTTTCCTTCCTCTTTATGTGCATTGTCTGGAGACCCATACTGCTCTCATTCAGGAAAGCATCTAAACACACTCCTGACTCCCCACGTCCTTTAACTGCCTGTCCAATTAGACCTAAATCCCTTTTGCCTATTGAAGTCCTCTAAGGGGCTTTTTGAGGGTGATCCCATCTCCCTTCTTGCAGTGGCACTGTAAGAACACAGTACGTGTCTGCAATCCTAATGCCCTATCCCTTTAAATTCCTCCCTGCACACATTGGGGTTTCCTGCACATTGGCTTAAATTCCCTGGAATAACAGTGAATTTCTGGAGTAACAACACTCCCTTCCTGCAGGGCACAAGGGATTTTCATGGGCCAGGATGCGAGACTCTATCTTTTGGTATTTTCAAGGTGGCAGCAAGCTGATGTCACATAAAAATGTGCAGTATCAGCCCCCTGACCTCAGCGATTTCCTTCTTCCACCCAAAGTAATCCTACACTTTGGGAAGCTCTCGAGCTGGGAAGGGGTTTGGGGCTCAGGTCAGGTTCCATCCTGCTCCCTGGTCTCCTTGATAGTTCAGAGCCTTGCTGGGCCAGGCGTTGGGTATGGTTTGCTAAAGGACTGTAGGATTTGGACACGGGGTAACCTGAGCTCCTCCATGTTAAACAAGGCAAGCCAGGAAGGTATAGGACCCACAGGTTTGCTGCTCCTCCTGGGTGCTCCCAGCTCCAGTCCTTGCCTGCCACTCCATATCCCATCCCCTCACGTTCCCCCATGTATTGCTCCCAGACAGGAGCCAGCACCTACACTGATCCACACCATCATCATTTGGTCATACACAAACCCTTCATCCCTCCTTCCACGTTCTCAGCGGTTTCCCTCTCTGCAGCTCAGCCTCCTTCCAATGGGGGGGGAATGGGAGATGGATGGGAGGTGGCTGCAGGTTCACCACGGTGCCACCAGCAGTTCTCATGGCAACTGAGTCCTAGGGAGCAGGGACCTGCATCCCCCCCATGCCCTGACCCCGTGTCTTTGACCCCACTGTGGTTGCAGCACCGTGTGCATGATGAACGGCTCCTTGCCTGCCTCATTGTTGCCGTCCTGCAGCAGCAACATCTGGTTTGCAAACCTGTGCAATATGCCAGCAAAATTAAACTCATCTATCAAACAAAGCAACAATGAAAAGCCAACAAGGGCTAAAAAACACCAATAACAACCAAACCCCAGGCTGAGTCGTTACGTTACAAATGAGGCAGCGAGGACTGACCCGTCCTAAAGCAATTCTATTTGCAACCGCATTAGGGAGAGGCAGAGCAAAGACATGGATCTTTGATAAGGCTTTCTGGGGGAAACTCCATGAATTTGGGACATTCAGGCTGGAGAAGGAGTGAACTCAGGGGTATAAGATAGCGCTCGTGCATCCTGGAGGATGTGAAGACATAAAGGCAATCACTGCTGACACTAAGGGCAGCCTTTGCTGAGCAGACACACTATTCTATGGTGGAATTTGCCGTCACCTGATGCTTCCAAAAGTAGAAACGGTTCAGAAACAGACTGGGCAGCTCCATGGTGGATGAAATAAATTGGAGGCAATGAAATGTGAGAGTCCCCGAGCCCCTCCAGCTGACTGCTGTTTGTGCTGTGATAAGTGTTGAAATCTCCACTGTGTCTTCCCATGGAGGAGATTAACCCCTTTCGTGGCAGAGCTGCAACACAAAAGCTTTCTTCAGCGCCCAGGAATGAGCACGCAGCTCCTCTGCCAGGGCTGGCGGGCAGGGACATGCCAGGAGCCACAGGGAATGTGCTACCACAGCTTTTGGGAGATTAATTAATTACAAAGGGCATCTTTCATGGACACAAACAGTTGCCTGGAGGCCTCCTCGGACTGATGGCATCTGGGTTTTATTGCAAAAAAGCCACTTGAAAAGACAAGAACCACAAAAATGTTTTTGGCAAGAGCAGCCACCAGTGAGCCCTGCCAGAATAAATGCATTCTGTTATTTTAATTTTAGTAGAGCTCGGAGCTTTATTTAATTACTTAATAGGGGAGGAAGACTTTCCTCAAAGGGAGCGTTTCGGCTATGTGTGCATATTCATAGTTGGCCTTTTCCACGTCCATACTTCACAGCACCGGTGTCTGAAATGGTCATTCCCGTGTCTGGCCAAAGCCCCTGGAGGTAGTTCCTGGGGCTGCTGCTCACTGAGGGGTTGTGGCCCCTTCCCCACCCCATTGGGCTTCACAGGCCTTCACTTTGGTAATGGAACAGTTGGATTTGTGTTCCCTTGGAGCTGCTGCACAAACCCTCCAGCACCGGTGGGAGAGGTGCAGCTGCGGCGCTGGAGGGATGGGCTGGGAGTGATGCTGTGCTAGGGCTGGGCACTGGGATACAGGACCAGTGATGCACATGGAGCTGCGCTGATGCCCGTCCTTGACATCAGCACCTTAGGACATCCCAGTAACAGGCTCCCAACGCTCAGACACTCCTGGTGTGGGAACTGACCTTTATTACGGCTTTTGGATCTCTTTATGGACTGTAATGATGCCTTTAAAAAGCTTGACTTTAAGTTTCCCAGGACAAGCAGGGTGTGAGTTCAAGCCCTGCCCTGGAGACCAGAGTCCAAGAGACAGCACCTGATCTCTAGTCCCTCTTGTTAACAATGCTGGGGAAGAAGCATCACTTTCTGTCACAGAACCAGAGTAACAAAGCGGGTTTCCTCCCTTACAAGCCTGAGCACCCTGTGCTTCTGGAAATACAGCTTGGAGGAACAGATGCAATGCTGTGTGACCCATAGCATACCCACCTCAGCTTCATCGGGGCCAGGAAATGGGTTAAACCAGCTGGTTGGCCTCAGCTGACCTGTGCTGCTGTCCCACCAACTCAAAGCAGAAAGGAAGGCTGGTGCTTGGCAAGAAAACAAGCACTGGTTGTTCCATGAATTAGATTTTGGGGAGGGGACAGCCTGCTTCATGCAGGAGGAGCAGCCCCGTGCTGCTGTTTCCCATAGAGGTCATTGGATCCAGAACACTGGAGGTAAGTTTGCTGTTTGAAGTCCATCTGCTGCTTTGCTCCCAGCTGGACCAAACCATGTCCTGCCCACGACCTCCTGGGCTCCTTGGCAGAATGCGAGGCATTAAAAGCAGCTGTGGATGGACTTGCTGCAAACCTTTCCCACATAAATCTAGTCCAGATCTCTCTGGAAGGGAGCCTGACGTCGGCAGATAAGGGCAGCCCTTTAGCAGCCCTCGTGCCATCGCAACCCAGAGCGATAAATAAAGCTGCTGTGATTACAGTGATCAGCCCCACGTGCTCTCTGGCCTCTGGTTAAACCTTCCCCTATTGTGTGCTAAGGGCAGCATTTGTCTCCTCTTAGCCCCAGGATGTGAGTTCCTTCTTTCCACCAGTCCTAGTATGACTTCCCCACCAGAGCCCAGGTATCCAGGCTGGATGGATTGAAATCATCATCCAGAACAAGGGCTGCCAAGGTTGATGCCATGGAGAAGTGTCAGCCCAGGGTGAGCACTGTGCTGTGTTGAAGAAGAATCTCAGCTGTGGGGTCTTGCTCACCCTTCTCCGCTTGAGTACATGGCCAGGTCTACCTTGAGCTCACCTGCAGCAGCAAGTTTGTGCACTGCCTGAAGTGGCAATTGCCATACAACTGAGGAGGAGGAGGATGCAGAGAATGGGTTTGGACCAGCACTGGGGTTTGCAGCGTGCAGCAACACAACCCAGGGTGAACGAACAGTGAAGGACAAAGAAAGATCCCAGCAAACAGCCTGAAAGTGCAAAACACCATCAACCAAGTGCTGAGATGGAGGAAAACACACATATGGGGCATGTGCGTGGCAGTGGCAACCTGGGGATGCTGTTTGTGTCCCTGGACCCCTTCCACACGCTGCTGGTTCATCTTGGTGCTCTCCCACCCGTCTGCAGCAGCAGCAGAGGCGGAGAAGCAGGAGCTGCTGCTGCTCCCTTCCCCAGCACACTGATGTTTACCCTTGTCTTTGGCCGTGTTCCCGCTGACCTGGCCACAGCCCCGAAGGGGCAGGCGGGCTGGGAGCTATCTGCTGGATAAAGGATGGGAATGAAGCAGGAACACGAAGCCGGGGTTTCGCACAGCCTGTTTACACAGAGCTGGGCTTTCCCAAAGATGCTGCTGACTTCAGCTATCAGGGTTGTTCCATTACACAGCCTGCAAGTTGCAGTGGGGTGATGGCACACGGCAGGAGCAGAAGGGCATTGCTTCCCTCCATGCATCCCCAAACACATTCCCTGCACAGCCGGGGCTGTGGGGCCCTTGTTGCAGCCTCCTGCTGCTGCTTACATCTTTGCCACTAACCTGAGCAGTGTCAAGCAATGGGATATACACAAAGCAATGGTGGAGAAGGAAAACCCCCAGGCAGATATTGGGAGCATCCAAGGAGCCATGGCTCAAGATGGAAACACAGAGGCTCCTTTAGTGTGATATCCGTTAACATCACATTAATGACTGTGGTAACAAGCACCTTAGAGCAAGCTTCAGAGACCAAAACCCTGCCCTCCGTTACTTTTTGCCCTGCTCAGCTTAACCTAACCGCAGTTTGGTTTTGCTCCTCATCCAATGGCTGGGATCTGGAGCAGCAGCGGTGGGAAGGGAAGTCTCTTGCGGTGGCAAGTGCTGTTTTGAAGGAAGCGCCGTCATCACAGGAAAAACTCTATCAACAACAACGCTGCTCCTTCTGAGAGAGCCCAACAACTGAGCTCTGCGTTCAGCTGCGGGACCCTGGGTCCCACGGAAGAGCCTGTAACATGGATCAGGGGAGGATCGGACCCTCTCCCACCAGCAAACACCCATCCCTCATCCTGCCGTTGCACCGTGAAGTGATGGCGTGGTTAAAGGTTAACAAGTT